AAGTTCACTCATAGAGAACTGATAAAAGAATTATGGAAGTAATGATGGTGATAACGACACGGAGTTTAGTAATATTAATTTTTGTAATGATGATAATGTCGATGACGATAAGGAAAGTGATGGAAATGAAGAAAAGAATAATGATGATGATAATGATAATGATGGTGATAATAATAGTAATGGTTTTGACAACAGCAACAATGCCAACAATAATAATGATGATAATGATAATAATGATTATATTGATAACAATAATAATGATAATAATAATGGCAATAATAATAATGATAGTAATGATAATGATTATGATGATAATAATGATGATGACAATTATAACAAAAATATAACAATAAAACGATAATGGAATAATAATAGATATACAGCAATATGATAAATATAAATAATTCAATTAAAGGAAAATTATACTCATATGAATGAACTCACATCGAATTTTATTATAAATATCTATAATAATGACAGGAACTTCATTCTGCAACAAAACATCTCCAGAACAAGGAAATCCGTTTTTTTTTTTTTTTTTTTTTTTTTTTTTTTTTTTTTTTTTTTAAAGAGATCTTCGAGTTACGTATCAGCTCTTCCAGTCTCTCTGTCTGTCTGCACATTTCCCGTCCGTCTGTTTATCGGTCTATCTGATTGTTTGTCTGTTTATCTATCTAACTATCTATCTTCCTATCTGTCTTTCTGTCCATCTGTCCATCTATCTGCCTACTTTTCTATCTATCTACATATCTATTTACATGTCTGTCTTTCTATCTGTTTCTTTCTTTAAGTCCCTCCTTCCCTTCCTCCATGTATGTCTATCTGTCTGTCTCTGTTACTCGCTCACTCTCACTCACTCACTCATTCATTCTCTCTCTCTCTCTTCTCTCTCCTCTCTCTCTCTCTCTCTCTCTCTCTCTCTCTCTCTCTCTCTCTCTCTCTCTCTCTCTCTCCTACTCTAACTTTCCTCCCTCCCGTCTTCCTCTCCCTCCCTCCCTTCCTCCTGTTCTCTCCCTCTTTCTTTTTTTCCCTCCTTCTTTCTTTCCCTCTCCCCCTCCACCCATCCTCTTACTCCTCCTCCTTCCCACCTACCCTCTCCTATCCCCTTCCATACCCACCTACCCTACCCCCTCCCCTTCTCCTCAATCCCCCCTCAACCCCACAAACTACTGTCCTCCCCTCCTTGCAAATTCCCGTTAATCTTATCGTTCATATCGATCGCCGAGGACCTCTGCAGCGTCTTGGCGTATTCCTCGACGAACTCGCAGAAGACGGTTGTCTCCATGTTCCTGCCGAGGGTCATGAGGAGGAACCACTCGCTGACGGAGGCTGTGCGCATGATGGCGGCGACGTCGCTCCTGTAGTGGCTCTTCACCAGGTTCTGGGGGGGGGGGGAGAGGGGAAAGACGGGTTGGTTATTGAGGTGTGGTTGGAGGAAGGGTAGAAGGGGGGGGGGGGAAAGGGAGGGAGGTAAGTTTGAGATGTGGTAAGGAAGGGAAGGAGGGAGGGAGGGAGGGTGGAAGGGGGGGAGGGAGGGGAAAGGGAGGGAGGTAAGTTTGAGATGTGGTGGTAAGGAAGGGAAGGGGAGGGAGGGAGGGTGGAAGGAAGGGAAGGAGGGAGATATGGGGAGAAGGGAGGGTGGGAAGGAAATGGAAGAAAATTGAAAAGAGGGTTATGTTTGAGATGGTGGTGGATGAAGGGAAGAAGGGAGGGAGGGAGGGAAGGAGAGAGGGAGGATGCAAGACAGGGAGGAAAGGAGGGAAATGAGAGAAAGGAAGAGAGGCAGGGAAGGAAAGGGAAGGGAAGGTAAGTTTAAGACATGGTGGTGAGAGGAAGGGAGGGAGGAAAGGAGATGAAGGGAAGGAAGAGAAGGGAAGAAGGAAATGAGGGTGAAATGGGATAAGGAAGGGATGGAGATGATCAGAATATTAGGAGACGCATGAGAAAAGAAAGAAAGAGAGATGGCGAGAAAGAAACGAGAGGGAGAGAATACAGGAAAGGAAGGGAGAAGGAAAATGATAAGAGGGTCTGAGGGAGAGGAAAAGAGATGAAATATCAAAAAAGAAGAAAAAAAAAAACAAGTGGAAATTATATCTCTAGATATTAAACAGAATAAATAAAGGCAATAAAACCTACCTGAAGGAGGAACTTCCTGAAGAAGGGCAGGAAGATGGTGAGGAGACGGTACAGCATCCACAGTGAGGAAATGGTCATTAGCAGCACCAGCCACACCCAGATATACACGTAGATCTGTGAGAGAGGCATTAAGGGATGGTTGTGATAACGTATTTTTTTCATTTCTTAAAGATAAGTTTTCGCTTCGTATAGCATGTATCGGTTTTATTTCATATATCGATTTTCGGTTATCATTTTATAGATCAGTTTTATTTTATATGTCGGTTCCCTGCGTGGCGTCTCGGTAGTCTCTCCTCTAGGATTTGAGTATCGAAATTTTAGCACTTATATACCTTAACAAACTTTTATTGCTTAATTCACTCTATGAAAGAGTAGACGTGCTGCTATATTCCTCTGTTCATTAATCTAACACACCTCTTCATCCACTTTCCCCTGACTCCTTCCTCACAACACTCCTAGAAAGACACTTGAGAAAGACACTTTCCCGAGACACTCCTACGAAAGACACTCAAGACAGACAGACAAAGAGACACAGGACAGACAGAAAGGCACTCAAGACAGACAGAAAGACAAACAGACAGAAAAAACACTCAAGACAGACATAAAGACACTCAAAACAGACAGACAGGTACTTAGACAGAAAGACACTCACGACAGACAAAAAGATACTTAGAAAGACTCTTAGACAGACAGAAAGACACTGACCTTCTCGTTGATGATGTTGGTGGCGATGAGGCACATGACGTCACGGACCTGGATGGTGCCCGAACTGCCGAAGCTCCTGAAGGTGCACTTGGCCATCCGCGGGAACACGAAGGCCATCGGGTCCGTCCTGTTCTCGGGGTCCATGCCGGCCACCTGGATCACCTGCCGAGGGAAGGGAGGCGGCCGTGAGGTGAGAGCGCGTGCATGGCCATCGGGCACTCGGGCACGGCGCCTTGGGGGGGGGGGGGGTGAGCGGGGTTTTTGCTGTTGTCTTTGTGTAAGATGTGAGAATGTATAATAATAATAATAATTTAAAAGAGGAATGATCTCTCTCTCTCTCTATCTGTCTATCTATCTATGTACACCCACACCACACCCCACACACACACACACACACACACACACACACACACACACACACACCCACTATATATATATATATATATATATAGATTAGATAGATAGATAGATAAGATAGATAGAGATAGATAGATAGATAGATAGATAGATAGATATATATATAGATAGATAGATAGATAGATAGATAGATAGATAGATAGATAGATAGATAGATAGATAGATAGATAGATAGATAGATAGATTAGATAGATATGATGGATGGATAGATAGATAGATAGATAGGATAGATATACATATATGCATATTATATATATATATAATTATATTATATTATATATATACATTATATATTGTATATATATATATTATATATATATATTATATTATATATATATATATTATATATATAATATAATATATACATAACACACACACACACACACACACACATGTATATCAAATATATATTATATATATATATTATATATATAATATATATATATATATATATATATATATATATATATATATATATATATATATATATATATATATATATAATATATATATTATATATATATATGTATGTATGTATGTATGTATGTATATATAACGGAAGTGGGAAATCAGGAAGATAAGAAGATAATAAGAAGCTTAAAAAAGGACACACCAGATAAACCACCCTTATCAAAATGACATCCACCCACTCTCTCACACCCCCGCCCCCCCCACACCCACAAGGACCGCCATCCCCACTCACATCGCTGCCGTAGGAGAGGAACTGTCCGCCGAGGAACCAGTCGGTGAAGAAGAAGATGCAGACGGCGTTGACGAGGTAGAGAGCCTCACAGAAGAAGAATTTGTAGGCCCAGCCTCTCTCGTTCTTGCGGTGGAACGTCACGTAATCGCAGAGCTTTTTTATCCTGTTGAGAAGAAGGAAAAAAAAAGTATAAAAAAAGCCACCAAAAACATAACCTCCTTGGTCGGGGTAATAAAATAAAAATAAAATAACAACAGTAATAAAAACACAAACAAACAAAAAACGTACACCACTAACAACAAGGATAGTGATAATCGAACGACTTACTCTTCGTTCTTCCCAAAGTACTTCTTCAGGTTGTCACCGAGGTAGTCCCTGATGGAGAGGTTCTGGATGACCGTCTTGAAGAGGCCCTTTTCCCACATCTTCCAGATCCAGTGGGGGACGTAGAAGAGGATTCCCTGCGGTGGAGGAAGGGGGTGAAAATGGTGATGGTGATGATGATAATGATGATACTAATAACACATTTATTACTACTGTACTACTATACTACTACTACTTACTTACTACTACTACTTCTACTACTATGCTTCTACTACTGCTACTTCTACTACTACTACTAAGACTTCTGCTACTACTACGTCTACTACCTACTACTACTACTACTATACTACTACTACTACTCTACTACTACTACTACTACTACTACTACTACTACTACTACTACTTCTACTACTACTACTTCTACTACTACTACTAAGACTTTCTAGCTACTACTACGTTCTACTACCTACTAACTACTACTATACTACTACTACGTCTACTACTACTATACTACTACTACTACTTCTACTACTATACTTCTTACTACTACTACTAAGATTCTGCTACTATACGTCTACTACCTACTACTACTACTACTCTACTACTACTACTATACTACTACTACTACTACTATACTCTACTACTACTTCTACTACTACTACTACTACTACTAGACTTCTGCTACTGCTACTCTAACTACTACTACTATTACTAC